CATCTCGCCGCGCGCTTGAACTGGGCGGTAGGCTGGGCTAAGACAAAGAGTTTTAATAATTAATAACTCGATAACCATAGCAAAAATTGCAAAATGGTACAGGTCTTTTCAACTCAGTCTAATCCGCTCTATCCATGAATAAGAGGTGAGGCGGGTATTACATAACATCCTATATAAAATGTACAGATTGTTGCAGAGACGTACAGAGCAGTATGATGGGTTGCCTATTCGTGTAGGGGCACATTTCAAAATTATAATTTAATTTATTTTCTGTCAAAATATAACTTTTGATAATCATTATGATGTCATTGTTATTTCAACATGACTTCATGTTCCTCTTGAGCAAATTTACTGCTGTTACTCTTGCGCCGAAGCCTATGCAGTTGTGAACGGGCATGCGCGCCTGTACTAACAGGCAATCCGTCTTATTGCCCTGTATGTCTCTGCAACACCTTATACATATTATAATTTCTGCATTTGCAGAAAAGTAAATTGTTGCGTAAACACGTACACTTACATTTAGAAAGAAGTGCAAATGTTTACATGCAACTTTAATAAATAACTTTTAGAGTTAAAATTAATTAGTTATTTTGTCTAAGTGTGGCAATTTACATGTAACAATAGATACCTGAATGTCCTTATGTTCAGCTAACAGTGCCAGGGTGTAGCACAAACTCATCGCTGTAGTATCATGACCCTATAATTGTATTATATATATTACGATATATTAAGAAATAAATAATACATCAAAAACGAAAAGAAATTACAAATGTATACCGCAAACATAAAAGTATCGACTTCCTCCCTAATATCTAAATCAGTCATAAGACCTTCTCGTGATGCCGCTATTAGAAGATCCAACATTGCGAGTCGCCTTTTTCGTACTAAATCAAAATATATAAATATCAATTAGTATCAATCTTATATTCCACTTAGGCCCGGTTGCACCAACGTCACGTAATTTTAACTGTAGCTTAATTCACTCTTTGTCGCTTTCCAACTGTTTCCCTTAGAAAGAGACAAAGAGTGAAATAAGCTAAAGTTAAATCTAAGCGACGTTGGTGCAACCAGGCCTTATTCCGTGATGTTTACTTTATACAGGGTGTTATGTAATACCCACCTCACCCCTTATTTACGGATAGAGCGGATTAGACTGAGTCGAAAAGTCCTCTACCATTTTGCAATTTTCGCAATAGTTAACAAGTTACTAATTATTAACTAAATTATTAAATAAAAATCGCTGTCTTAGCTCGACCAACAACCCCCAATATTAAGTTTGCGGTGAAACGCGATCGTCCCGCGATCGACATTGTTAGAGATAGTGATTTTTAATAAATAAATTACTAAAAATAACTTAGGATACTTTACATACACATATCTTAAGAAATTAAGGTTTTTTAAATTACATTACGTACTGTTAATCGTTTCTTCACCATTTGTTTCTTCCAATGTGTCATTTCTAAAGCTTTTCAAGTATCGACCATTGGTACGTTCATGGTAAAGTTTCCTTTCTGCTATTATCTATGTAAATATAATATTAATGTTTTTACCATAAATGATATGAATGCATTAGCGTATTGTCAACATTTATAAAATAATAAAATATTTCTATGTAATAGTTATTATTGTTATTTTTTTAGATAAATAATATTTATATACATTATACAATATTAAGTATAATTATTTTTACATACTCGTTCAGTAAATCCATGTAATGTCTTCAGAGTTTTTATTTGCTCTCTGCCTTTTGGTGTTAATGAAAATATCCAATCGTTTTGCAACCATTGCCTAAATAATCTAAATTATTGAAATCATGAGTAATCCTCAATAATCCGTCGAATTATTAAATCCAAATTGTCTTGTTTTTAGATTTAATTACATACTGATTTTTTTGTAATGTTTTAATATTTAATATATTATAAACATTACAAATATAATATTTATTTTTATATATAGATTTATTGAACCACACTCAACGTACAGATAGTTTTGATATAAATAACATTTTATGGTTTAATTGTCTTATATAATTACATAATGTTAATATATATTTTATGTATGCAAATATATTATATTTATGTTTATAAATTACCTGTAAGTAAGAAGTTCGCCCATCCGATGAACTGCTCTTCGATACTCTTGCTGAAACGCACCGAGACCTTGTAAAGGAGTGCCCATAGCGGTTTCTGCAAACGCATTTGTTAAATGTATATCAAAATAATATGTATTTATACAGAGTGTTATGAAATGCCCACCTCACCTCTTATTTACGGATAGAGCGGACTAGACTGATTCGAAAAGTCCTGTACCATTTTGCAATTTTTGCAACAGTCAACGAGTTATTAATTATTAAAAATCACTGTCTTAGCTCAGCCCACCGCCTACTTCAAGCGCGCGACGAAATGCGGCCGTCCGCGATTGGCGCGCGGGGAGTTGTTTATTATACGTAGCCGTATTACATAAGCAACTCCCCGCGCGCCTAGCAACGCCGATCGCGGGACGGCCGGATCTCGTCGCGCGCTTGAATTGGACAGTAGGGCCGAGCTAGGACAGGGATATTTAATAATTAATAACTCGTTAACTATTGCGAAAATTGCAAAATGGTAGAGGACTTTTCGACTTAGTCTAGTTCTATCCGTAAATAAGAAATGAGGCGGGTATTTTATAACACCCTGTATATTATTTATTATTAGTATATCGTGATGTTAATATATACTGATTCTAAACAAATTCTTTTATATTATAAGCCATTCAGAACATGATTCTATATATGTATGTAGATGCATAGAATACAATACCGCATATTGCATTCAGCGTATGTTCACTGATAAACGGTTCTAAATCTACAACTGTGCCTCCGGTACTTTTCAATGACTTTGTCATGTGTTCTCCTTCCTCGATCAAAATCTCAACAAATTGTTTTAATATATTGAAATGAAATGCAGAGGTAAGTATCTGCCGCCGTGAGTGCCATTTAATGCCTGAAACGAAAATAATAATACAACGCATAATTATAAAATAACGACTTGAGTCCAACATGGTGGATTATGCTTTTCTTTGAATTTCATTTTAAATTGATTAACTTTCAATAACTTGTGATTATTTTATTTATTTTGCCTTTGTTATGTGTTCAAATTTTTGCAGTAAGACATTGTATGTGTGTGTGTGAATGTATGTGTTGTGGGTGCGATAAATTTTACTAATAATAGTAAAAAAATCTTTTAGAACGTTTTAATGTTTTTTTTCGTAATATTAATATAAGTTGAATACATTTCTATTAATTTATCTATTATCATTATTGCAACTAAAGATTATCAACTAAAAGAAACAAAACGATAAATTTTATCAAATGTCTAATTTACTTAAGATAAAAATAATAAAGGTAACAAAAATTAAGAAAATAGGAGCTAATCATTCTCAGAAATGTATTTACATTTACGGTACAGCACAATGCAGCGAGGATTTTATTTGAGATTTTCTAGCATCGAATCGATGTTCTTAATGTACACGCATATTTGCACACAAGTTTATTTACTTCTAGTCACAATCAGGAGAACTTGCAAGGGTTCAATTTATTCGAGAAAAGAATTTCTTGTGTGTAATAATACTTGAGTAATCTTATATAATATAGGATCATTTCATAGCCATTCATCAATATAATTGCACATGCCTTTGCATTGAAGAACATATATGTGACTAGACAGTTTAGTTCTACACATATGGTAATACTTTAGAAAAAGTATTATTATTTAAGTTTATCGTTTATGATACTTATTATTTAAAATTAATATAAATTTATTTTATTATTGGTGTTGTAAAAACTTAGTAACAAAAATGAAACGCAATACTTAGTAGAGCGCGTATTTGTATAATATTATTACGTTACCTTTACTAGTGATAAGACCAGTACCGAACCAAGGATATAAAACATCATAGAGTATACTCTTGTCAATGTGCTTCGAGCTGCTTAATATTGCCTGAAAATCACAGTAGACATTAAATATCATTTAACTGAAATGCAACGTAGCTGATCAAGTAATTAATAATTAATTTCTGAAATATTTCAAATATTTAATCATTTCTAACAAATGTTTTATGAGTATACATATTTTTATAAAAATATAAAGCAACGTAATAAACACCTTAAGCGTTAAAATATCAATTATATAAAAATAGAATAAAATCTCGTTTATAGTTTGATACCTGTAGATCATCGGGATGACGAATGACTACAACTGGCGTAAAAAATCCCCATGATTTATAAATGGGATAGTACTGATTGGAAAGGGTCACTAGAATTTTCCATAGATCCTCTAAAAACACACGTATACATATTATGTTATTATGTAAATAAACTGAAATATTACAAATATTATTTGAAGGATGTGTAATTAACTTCATCATTAAATTTAAAGTATTCTATTATTTCTCGAATAACTTTAATTCAAGAAATAAACGATATCACGTAAAGAAGAATTAATAAATTTAAGTAATTTTTTAAATAATTACAGTAATATTGATAATTATACGTATAGTACTCAGAGTATTCAGAGTACTTGTGAATATTACATTTACTTTCCTGTATAAAAAGAAGATTTATCTACAGAAATATATAAAAAATTTTAACTTGCCTCGTGAATCAAGATATTCCAGTACATTACCAATAATTGGATAGCCTGATCGCCCTGGTATAAGATTGATAAGACGCCCATTTTTGCCACGATGCACATAATAATTATACACCAATACGATAAAGCTGAGTAGTAACAATATAGTAATGATCATTGTTTGTTGATGAAACAATTAGCCGGTTTAAGTTTTATTTCCTTCAGTCTTTAATTTTTTTGGTTTCTAAATTACACGAATCACTTCTAACTGTATTAACAACATTTAGTTTAAGATCAGAAGTATTACGGTCTTAATATCTTGAGTATGTTTCGTAAATAAAAGATACGGGAAAATGCGTTATTCACACTTTATCATTAGAAGTTTTAAAGAGATATAATGTATTTTTTTATTTTAAAATAGAAAATGTGCACGTTTAAATCCGACAAAAAATTTTTATTGGTTTTTAATTAAACCGTTTTTATACATTGCTAACTATTGTAAAGATATATATTATTGCAAATGTTCTTGCTTCTTAAAAAATACTGTGATAAACTGGAGGTTTCTTTTTTTAGCACTCGCGACAGACTACTTGTTTGCTTTTTCGATTTTCTGCTTGTTCGTTTGACTCACAAAATTAATCTACATAGTATTGATTAAAATGTTTATTAGTGTCTTTAATGAATGCAAAAAGCTGTCTCATTAATGCAAGGTTATCGGAGACAAAACGATTACAACTATAATGTTGCATAAAATTTGCATGACTTACTTAAAATGAGTAAGAGATTAATATAAAGTATAATATAAATATGTATCTATTAAATGTAATAGTAAGATTTTAACTTTTCCTTGTTTTTCCTCCATAACAATGTAATGAGATTTTTAATTTTTCTTTGTTTCTCCACTTGGCTCTACAATATTGCGTAACGTGATACGCCACGTAAAGAAATGAAAAAATTTGCTTTAATACATTAGTAATAGTAATAATACTATTATTAATGTATTATTACTATTACTATTATTATTACTATTGGTAGTTACTAACTAAATATTATTATTACTACTATTAGTATTAATAGTTTACTCTTATTATTACTGTTATTATTACTAATAAATTATATTAGTAATAGTAGAAAACTTACAATAAATTGCACAGATAGGATAATCCATATTACGTTTCTTTATTTAAAGTGGACAGTAAAAATATCGAAAGTGAATGTACATAATATGTGACAAATAAAGTAATAAATGAAATTGATATTACATATATTTGTTTATATTATATATTTTAGGACTTAAAAATATGTTTAGTAGTAGCTTGCACAATACATAACAAGTCCATAAAGAATTTTTATTTAAAACTTCCTTCAGTGTAAGTAGAGATCTGCTTTCTCCTTGTCAAACAAAATTATGTCTTGACTTCAGATTACAAGTGTTCTATTGGAACAAATCGTACACGAATTGGATGCACAACGCGACATATAATATCCAGCATAAACCGAAGATCCTTTAAATGATCGACAGGCTCCAAATAAAAGTCCTGTACTAACGAAGCAATTACAGCTTTCATTTCCAATATGGCGAATCGTTGTCCTATTGTTCATAAATTAAAATTTATTTAATTCGTAATTAAGAGTTATTTAATTACAAGAAATTACAACTTACATATTAGATATCTTAAACATTACCTATACAATTTCGTGATCCTGCACTAAACGGTAAATAGGAATAAGGATGACGATTTATAATTCTATCAGGTAAAAATCTATCTGGATCGAATATATCTGGATCTGACCAGAAATTGGGATCTCGATGAATATCGTAGATATTAATCTGTATTACTGCTCCAGAAGGTACCAGATATGACTCTGAAGATATGTAACAAATTTTTTATGAATAATAATAAAATTTGAGGTGTACAAAGCATTATAAATATAAAAATATGTTTGACAACTAAATATAAATTATTTTATCACGAGACACGGTAGTGTCTCGCGCCAAGTATAAGTGACTAAGTATATAAATAACACCTTGTGTTTCTATACTGATGTAAGTTAATTACTTTGATAAAATAAATTTGTTATACTTAACATATACTTAACATATACTTAACATATACTTAACATATACCTAACATATACTTAACATATACCTAACATATGTTTAACAAAGGAGCGTTAATTATAAAAATGCTTAGAATTTGAAACTTTTCCTAGAATATTATTTAAAAGTTGCATATTAATATTATCAATTTTATGTAGTAAAGCCATAAAGTGAGTGAGAGAGAGAGAGAGAGAGAGAGAGAAAATAAATAATTTTTTGAGAAAAAATGTATTATAATTCTTCTCTCTTATTCTATCTCATTCTATGTTCAAAAAGTGTATACCTACAATATATGTACTTACGCATTTTTATATCCTCCGACAAAACCCGGGATATTAAAGGAACACTGGGATATAATCTTAATGTTTCTTTTATACATCTTTCTAGATAGTGTAAATTGTTTAACACTGTCATAGTAAGCTTTCCTCCGTTTTCATGCATTACTGTTCTGACTTCATTTCTAACACGCTCCTAAATTATTAAATAAATTGACACAAAATATATTTTATTAAAACCTAATAAAGTGTTGATACATATAAATAAGCATGTATTATACTGTATAATAATAGATTTTAATTTTATTTACCTACTATCATTATTCATTAAAG